CACTTAAATAATCACTCCACAAAATACATTAAATCAGTAAAAAATTAATAAAACATTTAAATAACCGCGCCATAAAACACACTACTAAATTCGTATACACGTGCGCAATCACTTAATAAAACACACAAGTAAAGTCACTGACACTTGTAGAATTACACCATAAAATTTGTTAATACACCCACATAATTAATAAAAAATATTAAATAATGCACACTAAACACTATTATTAATACACTAGGTACACTTATATATCCGTATATGCATGCCCATTTATATATCCGTATATGCATGCAGGTAACACACTGTTTAAGTCACTGACACTTGTAGAATCACACCATAAATTTTATTAATACACCCACGTATTTATTAAAAAATATTTGTTAAAACACACTAAAGACTAGTAGTAGCACAGTAGGTAAGACAGGGACAAGCACAATATCGGATTAGTGGACCCTTGACTCGTACCGGTAAGTGTTGACAGGTGCTGTCCGAGCTCCTCGACTTCCAAAATAAAACTGAGAGCGTTTGACCTCCCTCTACTGCAAGAGTTTATTGGTAGTTCACAATAGCCAATTAGACATCGTATAGTCTACCAATAGATCAAATTCGATCTTTTCGAGTGTAATAGTAATTGGTACTGTACAGTAGCCAATTAGACATCATGTAATCGACCAATAGCGTGCAACCATTCTAGTTGGACGTTCTATAACTTTTCTAACGTTATTTTTTTTACAATTTTATATTTTTCGATTGTTTATTGACAAATTTATTGTTGTAATTATTTAAATTTATTATTTTTTTTAACTTACTTTTGCAGATATTTTGCAAAATGATTGTCAATTAATATATTACGATATATTTTTTGTAATTAATAATTTTTTAGTTATTTATTTATAAAATTAATGTTGTAACTATTCAAATTCGTCATTTTTATTAACTTACTCTAACAAATATATTGCAAAATGACTGTTAATTAATATATTACGATATATAATTTTTTATAATTACTTGTTACCAAAAAGACTCAGTTTCATATTTTTCGAAAAGTTTCATTCTGTCATTAAAAATTTACGCGCAATTTTTTAAAAAGTGACGTCATCCACGAAAATGGACTCGCGGCGTCATCTCTCCGGCGAACAGGGTGAACTACACGGTTTTGAAACAGCAGTTTCATTAGTTTTCTGGACGGCGCCACGTGTATGTGTTTTTTCCTAGATCTAGGGATTTCCTAGTTCAAGGTACAGCCACGTTTGGGGAGTTGCGGGAGGTTAACATAACCTATGCAGCGGACATTTCTCGAGCATTTGTATTGTGTTCATGTTTCGCCGTTCACCACGTGTTTAAAAGAATGTACTAGTTTTTATTCGTTTTTTTGGACTGTTACATTCGTTGTAGCAAAATGTCAGTGCCCGATAAAGTTTTAATGCGAAAGATCAAGAAGAGAGAAAAGAAGAAGCTCCAAATATTACAAGAACGGGAACAACAAATAAAGAATGGTAAATACAAACTTATATTATGATTATTTGTATCATATCTTATTTTTTTTATGAATAGTGCAACTTTAATTCATAATTGATTTCATATGTTAATGACAGGTGAAACTGATGATTCAGAATATGTTGAAAGTGTAGAAAGTGCAAATGGGTTAAAAAGACATACAAGTGAAGATGGAAGTGAAGCAGTAAAAAGTAAGTTATAACAATAATTTTCTACGATATGATATGTTTATAATATAATTATATTATATTACAGAAAAGAAAAAGAAGCTAAAGAGTGAAAAGGTACCAGAAACAGAAGATGAAGATGATAATACTGGTATTGAATCCAATAACACAGGTACAAGTGAAAGTTCTGAAACTAAAGAACAGGACGATGATAGTGTAGCTGTAAATTGTAAGTATATCAAACTTTTGTCGAATATCTTCAGTCATTGAACAAGTACATCTATTTCGTGGATATTATTTTACAGTACCTGGTAGTACAATAGGCTTAGAAGTAGCAAAAGATACCAGCTTTGAGACACTAAAAGAATCAGTATGTGAAAATACCTTGAAAGCTATTGAAGATATGGGTTTCAAAAACATGACTGAAATACAAGCAAAATCTATTCCACCACTGCTAGAAGGCAGAGACTTGGTTGGTGCTGCAAAAACTGGCTCTGGAAAAACTTTGGCATTTTTAATACCAGCTGTAGAATTAATTTACAAGTTAAAGTTCATGCCTCGTAATGGTATGTCCATTATAATTGAGATGTTACTTACTTGAAGTGATAAATTTTCCAGAAGTTTTAATTAATTGATACTCTTAATTCGTAGGTACTGGCTGCATCATTATATCTCCAACACGTGAATTGTCCATGCAAACATTTGGAGTATTAAAAGAACTGATGAAGTATCACCACCACACATATGGTTTATTGATGGGTGGTGCTAGCAGACAGACAGAAGCACAGAAACTTTCAAAGGGAATTAATATTGTCGTAGCTACGCCCGGTAGATTATTGGATCACTTACAAAACACTGCAGATTTCTTATATAAAAATCTTCAGTGTCTCGTCATCGACGAAGCTGATCGTATCTTAGACATTGGTTTTGAAGAGGAACTCAAGCAAATTATACATATTTTACCAAGTTAGTACAATGTTTTTTCCAAATCTATAGATGAAAGTAAGATAGATTTATAATGTAACGATAATGTATTGCAGAAAAAAGACAAACGATGCTGTTCAGTGCAACGCAGACGAAGAAAACAGAGACGCTGACAGCTTTAGCTTTGAAAAAGGAACCGATTTACGTCGGTGTCGACGACCATCATGAGAAAGCAACAGTAGAAGGCTTAGAACAGGGTTATGTAGTTTGTCCCAGTGAGAAAAGATTCCTGCTTCTGTTTACCTTCTTAAAAAAGAATAGAAAGAAAAAAGTCATGGTTTTTTTCAGTTCTTGTATGTCGGTCAAATATCATCATGAACTTTTAAATTACATTGATCTACCGGTATTAAGTATACACGTACGATCATATATCTGTATAAATACATACATGTATACATACTGTCGTACTTAGGATTTTTATTTGACTATTTTGAGGAGGTTAGGGTCATGTTAGTCCCTATCTAGTTACGCCAGTGTGTTTACGTATATGAAATATTTACATATTTGTTAACGTTCAGAATATATGATAGGTTTTAATTAAATCGTAGGGAAAGCAAAAGCAGACAAAAAGAACAACGACGTTTTTCCAATTCTGTAACGCATCATCCGGAATACTTTTGTGTACCGACGTAGCTGCGCGTGGTCTCGATATACCAGCTGTTGACTGGATCGTACAATACGATCCACCGGATGATCCAAAGGTAAATTGTTACTGATTAATCCGAAGAGATATTTTTAACCTTTAATTACCGACGTGTGGTCTCAATTAAATATAACCTATTTAAACGGTGTAACTAACTTGAACTATTATAAAATATAGCGGGTTTCACATCGGTAGTTATACCATAACATGGTTAAGAAATTTAATTTGACGCAGTTTAATTATATTGAATAATCAACACGATTGCAGGAATATATTCATCGCGTTGGTAGAACAGCTCGTGGAGAAGGTAGTAGTGGTCATGCATTATTAATTTTACGACCAGAAGAACTCGGATTTCTTCGATACCTTAAGCAAGCTAGGGTGCCGGTAAATGAATTCGATTTTTCATGGAATAAGATCGCTGATATTCAATTGCAGGTGAGTAATTTATTCTTACGTTAATCGAATAAGAATACGTGAATATTTTAAAATTCGTTAATAAATTAATATTATACAAACTCGTAAAAATGTCGAAGGTTTCAAATTTTCAGTGTTTAATTAGTAGTTCTAGTCAATGACGAAGCCATTAATGTCGAGTAGTTTCTTCAAACAATAATTCTCCCTCCTCTCGAATGACAATTTTTTGTCGATGGCATATCTTCGATGTAGTCCACACAAAACTGCAACGTTATTTCCATATCCTGATCACGTGACTTGGGACGCTCCGTGTATGATCTATTTTTAGCCGCTTAACTTTCTACGGAATCGAATGAGTCAAAACACCAGACCTTGAGATTTTAAAAATATACAAATTTTATGGTCGAACTGCAATTGGTTCTTTTATTCGTTTCCGATGATTTGAAGAGAATAAGTAAATCAAAAAGTCTAAGGAAGTTGGAAGTCCAAACAAATAACAGCTCGCAAAATACGCGTATGATACTTTCTAATATGCTTTGTGCTTCGAGTGATTGATTAATCGTTTGTTTCAGCTTGAAAAGTTAATTTCAAAGAACTACTTTTTAAACGTGTCAGCGAAAGAAGCATTTAAAGCGTACGTAAGGGCGTACGATTCTCATCACTTGAAACAGATCTTCGATATCGAAACGCTAGATCTAGTAAAAGTGGCGAAATCCTTTGGGTTTTTGGTACCACCAGCTGTAGATTTGAGTATCCTTTTTTAAAATATATTTCAATTCGGATATTTAGACAGCAAATGAACAGGTGTATTGAATATTAGGCTGAAATGTTTCAAACTTAATTGCATTATTATAACTTATCATTATTACATCTTCAAAGTTACAGTAACTCTGATAAAATGTATCATCTTTCTTATAAAAGTGAACAAAAGCATTCACTTGTAAGCATTGAAAATAGAAAAACACTCATAACATCAACTGGGCAGCCACTTGCAGTCACAGCTGACTATATATTGTTACAAAGTTATTCATAGCATAAAAGCAACATTTTCCTTGTCACTTACAATTTAAGAAAATAATATTGTTATAAACATTCATAAAATGAAAGCAAAATTTTCCTTGTTATATTTTAAGACAATAACATTATCTTGATACATTCATCTTAGGTACATCTTATCTCATTTATCATTTACTCTATTTTAATTAGTATTAAAAATTGATTCATACGGTAAATGTTCCTTAACACGATGTCAACAGAAGTAGGAATAAGCAAGAATTCGCGGCCACGAAAAAGAATAGGAGGAGGCGGTTACGGATACTTGAAGAGCAGTAACAATCCAAACTCAGGAAAACAAATACAGCGTAGCAAAACCTTCCGGCAAGTAAACAGACACGACGACCGACAGTTTTCCAGATAACCATGTTTCAAAACATAATAAATTTTTCTGAATATGTTACCTCATTGTTGTGTAATAACATCTATCACAAGATCGAAAATTAATTCCAGCGGTGTATTGTACAAAATGATTTAAAATATCGCCATTTGTTCTTCGTGCGAAAATTGAATCAGTTGGTATTGAAATCAGGCACAATCGTTCCGTGGGATGTTACGTGGCGTTAATCGCGCGTACTTGGATATTTTCAAGTACCTCTGATTCCTGTACGCGAAAAGAGAAACTAGAAAGTATCCGTTGATCGCGGTTTGAAACGACACAAGAGAAATACTTAATAATATGTGACACCCACGCAATTTCTCGGCAGGACCATGTACGGTAGATGTCGTATGACGTCAGTGCTACTTTACATCAACCGATATACGCGTGTAGGCGCGTTGGATGTGGCGCAAAAGGTAACACTCGTGGGAGAACGTTAAGGCGACAACCGGCAACCTTCGGTAATCGATCGTTCGTCTTCCAATGATCCTTTATAGATTATGTACAAAGTACACTGAACATATTTGACTTCCTATAAGGAAAATTAGGGACACACACAGCTTGAGGACTGAGGGTTACAGAGAATTTTTTCATTCTTCAAGTTAGATTAACAAATTTGGAAGTGTGGAATTTGAAACTTGGGAAAAGTGGTGTTTGATTTGGAATTTTTTAAATATCAGATTTGTGAATTTGGAAATTTTTATATTGGAGAATTTGTAATATGGGAATAGGAAATTTGCTTCAAAACGCTTTTGGAGTTTCGAGCACGTATTATGATAAAAACGCAGCAGGAGTGCGCCACCCCCGACGTATTTTCCGTGGACGTGGCAGCTCCCGGGGGTGAGGTCCTCTCACGGCTGCTCAGTCTCACGTAACCGAACATGAGATCCGTCGGAAATGTTTTACCACGTGCACGTGTTCATTTTCAATGACGGTTCTCGATACATGGCCCTCATTTGGTGTTACATAGCGGGTGTCGCCCCCGTTCGCGAGCAAGGCCGAAGTGTTAAGGTCGTTTGTATTATTGCGTTCAAGGAATTTAGAAGTTTGGAAAATTACGAAGTTTAGAAGTGATTTGATGAGGACCTTATGCATTTAAGAACTTTTAAATTAGGAAATTTGAAAATTTAATTTAAGATAAATTAACAATGGTGTATTGACAATATTGGTCGTGAGTATCCTGCAATAATGACAATATATTGTATGATGATCTTCTGAGATCACACATTGAACGCCGCGCCAGTTTCACGTGACTTTCCATTCATGTCGCGTGGGCTACGTCTACACTATTGCATCCACTACGTATACATATTTATAGGAAATATTTATAAGATCTCACAAATAATTGATAGAAAGAAAAAGAATTAGTATACGACATAATAACTGTATAATCAGGACATATTTTAATAATGTATATAATTAAAAAATCATTGTTCTACGTGCATTGCTACGCGTCATCGGTATACACACGTGCACACGGAATCTTTAATATGTATCTCATATACATCGCGTTTAATCTCTTTGTTTACAAAGTGTACGTACGGCCGACTTTAAAATATCGAGTTAACGTTGAAACCTAAATTTAGTTTCTGGTTTATTTGAAGCATCGCGTGAGTTTCCATGGACGATTAGTTATTTGATTAAATTTCGAAAGATTACGTACGGATCTACGTGTGTACTTCCAAAACCTGGGCGCTCGTCACTCAACTTTCAAAACTAATTCGTCTTATTTCAAAATCTGATCATTGGACGTTTTTATTCATGGATGCTGCGATGCATGACTAATAATCGGACTATAAAATGCCTCGATTAAGTTAAGAAATAGATGATGGGCGTTCAAGTTTTAGATGTCTCAAAGGGATTCTCAACCTGACTGTAATCATGAGTGCATTCAAATTTAGAGACAAAGTTATAAATATTGATATTTTTTTCAATTTACGATACAAATTAACTTTATTAGATTTATAGAGAAAATTCATATTCGTTTATTATATCACATAAAAGCCTTATGTAACAAATTAATTAACTGTGAATACACATATGACAAATGTACACATCGCATTTATTATGCAACCTTATTTTGGCAATTGATATGAACCGCTGTACCTTTAACGTAAACATGATCTAGTTACATTGTTGTTCATATCAAGTGTCGATTTAGTAATCATTTCTTATGCTCTAATAAAATTCTGAATTCCTAATCTCAAATATAAAATGCTCAATTTCACGATTGAAATTGTTACTATATATTGAGAGTCGCGATACTGTGTATATTGTTCGTCAGAGGTGTACATAAGATAAAATTCGTGCGAGTACAGTTGCGGTGAATGACAAGAGTCACGCGATAGAAGTGATCGCCCGATCGATTTGTGAATCGCGTTGAATCTCGGGGCACCATGGCATACGATCGCGTCCCTGAATTATTCAACTCGTATGCGCGGCGATGGTACCTCAATACCCGCGCGTACGGAGAGGCCGTATATGGTAGTGGGCGGTAGCGGCGCGCCGATCCACGGAACGCAAGAACCGATGCGCGGCAGACTTGTGCGCAGATCGGGCGGTGCGCATGCGCGCGAACTCCGGAATCTATAGGTATCCTGACGCGGCACATGCACGGAATCCGTGCCACGGATGGAGCAGTAGAACCGAGAATTCCGTAGTGCGTGTTTGTTTTTAATATCGCGATCGACGATTTAACTCTTTAACCTTAACAGAGTACAAGCTAGGAGAAAAGAATCTACGATATCTTTTTCTCTCTGTTATCGTTTTTCCGTGCCACACGCTCGTCCGAATTTTTCCATCTCTTTCCCTTCTCTCGCGTCCGTTTTCCCTTTTTCTCCTACCCTCCTTTTTCTTTCTTTTCCTCTCTCCCCTCTTCTTCTCCTTCGCCACAACGACTCTCCGCCGCCTTCTTATTTCCCTTTCACCTCTCTCTCTCCTCTCTTCTCTGCCTCACTCTTTCTCGATCCTTTCGGTCTTTCCGTTTCCCTCGCTCTTATTTCTCAGCTTCCCCTTCTCCTTCTCCGCCACCTCCACCTTCTCCTCGCATAGCATAGTATACCGACTTCGCTATTTCTAAAAACGTAACGCAATCGTGGCGACGTATGCGAGGAGCGCGCCAGAGAAACCACGAGCGAGGAGGCGCGACCTACGAACCGCGAGTTGTATCGATCGCGATCGAGTAAATCGTGCGAGAAAAGTCGAGAAGTGTTACCAGAGTGATAAATACAAGGGATAAATCTATGTTAACGTCGCGCGAAACCGAACGTGAAAAGACTGCTGTTATTTTAGATCTTGATCGCAACATCGTCCGTCTCTTACTCGTTCACGTTTAACGTTTAACGTTCACTCTTTCTTCCGTCTCCCTCTCTTGTGGCAGATATCTTTTTTCGTTTTTTTTTCTCTTCTTCTTTCTTCTTCTTCTCTGTCGTACGTTTAATTAGTATTTTCGCGTGACCGCCATAGGAGTAATCAAGTAATTGCGATGTGTGATAATACTAACACAACGACGCAAAGTATAGCGGACTATCTGTCACAGTTACTAAAAGATAGAAAGCAGTTAGCTGCTTTCCCTAATGTCTTCATACACGTAGAGCGCCTACTAGACGAAGGTAAGCAACCATTAATCCACTAATATCTTGTATACCTTGTTCGGTAACGCATCGTTCTCATTCGCGACACGCCTTACTTTGGTTCGCATGATTAACGCCCACTGCGATTTATACATACTTCGAGTTTGATCCAAGCACGTTACACGCGCCCGCCCGTCAAACTTTTGCCACGCAGTTTTCGACGCGTCGTGTCGCGGTGCCTCGCGTCGACTAAAAATGGAAAAAGGAAAAACGAAAAACGGAAAACGGAATTTCGAGTGGAAAGGTAGAAAAAAGAGAAACATGTACGTTCGGCTAATGCTAAAAACGCTGCTCGCGTCACGAGAGACCGGTTCTCGTTGCTCCGTTTGCCATAATCGGCAACGAACTGCTCGCAAACATCGTATCTGGATCGTGTGTCACGTGTTACGCGTCCCGGTGTTTCGTTCGAGCCTGCCTCGTTCGCTTTATTTTTTCCAATTTTCCACGCCGGACCCAGAAGAAAAGGAAATTAAGTTGATCAACGTAAGTCGAACAGAATAAATATGTAAGAATCTCGTGGGACACGCGACTCGCGATTCGAGCGATCGATCGATCTTGAGAAAAGTCGATTTGGCCCATCGAAAGGGGCCAACCCAGTTCGACTCAGAATCATCGCATACCAGAGAGGAAACAAGATATGAAAGAAAGGGGTGGGGAGGGGGAATTGTCAGTGAAAACGAAGTGAACCAAGTGTTCGAGAACAGTGACCGAGAAAACCGTAAAGCTCGTGATTCGTGATACGCGTCGTGAACTCGTGGTTAATCGCGTATGTTGTATTATTTGGATGTTTTGAAGTGAAACTTCTATGGGCGCGATTCGGCGCCGGAGCGTTACAGCCGATCGTCTCATCCATGCGTCACGAAAAGTACAAGCAAGTTTTCAAATTCCCAAATTTTTAACTTTCACAATTTCCAAACTTTCGAATCTCTAACTGTTCAAATCTATTGGCTTTTAATTCTCAAAATTTCAAATTCCTAAATTCTCTAATTTTCAAATTCCCTTATCTTCAAATTTCCAAATTCAAAATCTGTAAATTTTTCTAACCTCAAATTTTTACTCATAATAAAGAAGTTTCACTTCTAACACATGTGGCGACACACGCAATTTTTTCTCATATTTTTGTGACCAATATCTCTCATTTAGGAAATTGTGAAAAACATGTTTCGATATTGTTTGATTTCGTGTCAATGGACGTCGACTC